CAACACATGCAATATGTAATATAAAAGCACAGAGACAATATATATATTTTCGACACATGATTAATTAGAAATCTGTAACGTACTCATAGAGTCCGATCATTCCGCTGCGTGTGTACGCACTGGATTAATACTGATATTATCAATGTTTGCATTTGACTTGCATACGATGTATCGGTATTACGCTCTGCGTTACATTTCAATATGACGCCTATATGGCATAAATATGCGTAAATATAGAACATTTAATTAGAACATGGCATACGTGTGCGGGACTGACGGCAGATACTATAAATCTATTCTCGATATTATTTTGCTTACATATATGCTGCAGGGCGTATAGTGGCATGCATGCAATAGCAAACCTGAGTGTATACAACGTAGGCCCATACAGTTTCGGACTTTACTGCGTATACGAACACGATATAAAGTGCATACAAAACTACTATCATGCTCTACTAAATATTACAAAAATCAGCATTAAAAAAACAAAGGCCTATACTGCATTTGCATATGGTTGCACAAATATAAGCCAGTAATGAGTCTCAAGCATGTGCTGATGACATGAATTACTTACATCTATAGCTTATGTAGAGTCGCACATATAACACTTATGAAACGTAAACAGTATTACATGTGCGTTAAATAGAGCACATTTTTACATGCTACGGCACTACATTTGCTGATGTACGACAGTACTCTAATACTTTTCTTGACATATTTGCTTACACGTTACGCTGCAGGGCGTATAATGGTATGCATGTAATAGCATACCTAAAGATGGCCTATGCAATTACGAATTATAATTCTGCATTATACAAACAATTATATAAAGTACATACAAAACATAATAACATTACACGTACTAATATATTTACAAAAATCGGCATTAAACAGACAAAAACTAATTCTGCACTTGCATACTAATGCATAAATTTAAGACAGTAATGATGCTCAAGCAATTGTGCTGATGAGCGTGAAATTCCTTACATTCAATAGCTTATGTAGGGTCACATATACGATTCTTGCGATTATGAGCGTTCGATTTACACATGCGCTAATGCGATCCATACGTACTACATGTTTACAAATGCATGGACGCACGACGAACAATAAAACTTATCTGACTATTTTGCTTCCATATTACGCTGCAGGGCGAATAAGGAGCAGCAAAGATAAAAAATTCCACCGGGCCCGTGCAATTACGAAACATTTATACGCTTACAACAATTTATGAGGTACACACAAAGCATATATTACTAAGCGTACTAGCTAGTAGAAAATCGTATAAACAGACATACCTGATATGCATTGATAGAATGCTAAATTTAAGGCAGTAATGATGTTCAAGCAATTGTGCTGATGAACATGATGTTACATTCGATAGCTTATGTACAGCCACGTATGTAACACTTGCAATTGTGAAGCGTAAACAGTATTACATATGTGCTAACTACAGTACATATTTACAATGCATATCATAGAACTGCATATGCATGGACTGATCGACAGATACACATAAATACTTATTCTTGACATTATTTTGCTCATGTAATATGCTACAAGGCGTAAAGTGGCATACATGCAATAGCATACTTAAAAATATACCATGAAAGGCCCATGCAGTTATGAGACATTATACTGCATTATGCAATCAATTATATGAAGTACACACAAGACGTCTATTGCTATACACATACCAATCTTTACAAAATTAATGGACAATGCTCTATACACTCTGAAATACACGTCTAAGCCAGACGTCTATTTTGTCAGACTATCGTGAAATACCATATCTTAATACTATAAGCAGATAAACTTGCTTGTTACTTTACATATTGAGATATTAGCAAGAGGATGGCGAAGGTGACGAGCACAGTTTATTCTGCTGCGCAGAGGTCTGTGATGATAATGAGTACGTGTGATGATAATGAGTACGTGTGATGATAATGAGTAACATACAAAAGATGATAATGAGTACGTCTACCTGTCTCAGCAATGTCCCACTCAGCCTGCCACTTTTAGAGTGCCTCAATGGAGATTCTTTTTAAGGTAGAGTGTGGCCACGTATTGTTAGCTCCTCGCGTCGTATTGGCAGGTCTTTCGTAGGAGTCTCTGGCTGGCGCCCATTCAGATGAACTAACTTATGTCACAATACCATGAGTTTTTGCGCAGATAGCCATTAAGAAGCTTAATCACATTATCAAATCACAAAGCTCGTACAATATCACATCCAATGCACTGTTACTCCCGATTCGTATTAATCTCTTTTCTACATTACGAAGCTTTTTCATGTCACTGCTGAAGATTCGAATATATTGTATTAACAACTAGGGAAATAATAAGGTTCACCTAGCGGGGGGTGCATCGCGTAAAAGTAAACGGGCGGCTAAAGTCAGGGACGGCCGCACTCTTGCGGTACCACTGCTAAATATTTTAAATTCATTGCAAGTACTTGTCATATGTAAGTATTTTTTATAAAGTTTGTCATATGTAAGTACTTAGTGAGTATGAATAAAAATTTATAATCAGTGAATGTTTTTAAATTAGGGGTGGAACTGGAATGTACTCGGCACTATGCCTAGGAAGGTCTCTGACCACTGACTGTGAGTACGCTTTCGTTCTGGTCGCTAATATGCGACTACGAACTGATATATTTTTTCAGTCAGATGACCGAAGTCGACTTTCAATTTCAGTGACGGATATGCACTATTTCCTCGTTCATAGTAGTTAGTAATTAAAAGTACGTAATCATCCCGCCTGAAATGGAGTACACCAAAGAGTAGCAGAGCTAAAGAGAAACATCCGGAGCACGTATATCATATAGCTTTGCACAGCAATAGCATAGCTTCCATTCTCTCAGTGTTTGACCTGCATTTTTCTCTTGGCCGCACATTCTTTGTAACAGAAAAACCAATGAGCTCCATATAAACGTTTTTTCAACAAGTGTTGAATTTCTTGGATTTTTGGAGAGAATGAAATCTACAGTATTGTAATATTCTTGAAAAATCTATGGGCCTACTTCTCTCATTTAAACTGTCTATCAGACGCAGAGATTTTTCTATTTATTCCGTGCTCTTACCTATAAAAGCCACTGGAGCGAATGCGTCTTAACCATCGCAAATTCTTTCTCAAGATCCACATCTACTTCCAACGGACTTCAGTGCAAGCTGTCAGCCCGACAGAACCACGACTTCCGACTTATCAGATGCTACGACAAGAACACGCTCGGGTCGTCGAGTTCGCATCAACCCAAAGTATTTGTAAGGTATCGTTAGCACTGGAGGGGGAATAATGTGGCGACTTGCCTACTACAACTCATCGCTGCCAGTCTGGTAATCCATAGCAACCAAAAAACAAAATAATATTTATTCTCTTCTATTGTTAGTATTATTAACGATCTGTCTCAAAATTTGTACTACCATAATAAAAATTGTACCACCATAGAGAGCAATTTCAATAATTCTTTGAATAACAATGTTTATCATTAGTTGCTCTAGTGGTCAACGGAAACTGTTGAACGGCGTAAAACCTAGGTACCTGAGAACGAGACCCTACCTCTAATCGAATTATAAGTTTCTTAATTGATACTTTACATTAACTGGGAAATGAAGTTATAATAAGCATTAAAGCATAGTAATAATGATTTAAATATTTGACGCTTAAAGTTTTTGATATTTTTAAACTGTTTAGCTGTGACGTTCGAGTTAGGTGCAAGAGCCCGAAATAAAAGGGATTAACATATTGGCAAGTACGGAAAGTTTTAGTGCTGCTAGTAAAGAATTAAGATGCAATAGGAGCACATGTATATTCACAAAGTTGGCACATGGTCTACAAGTTGGCACATTTGGCACATGTATATTCACAAAGCCTACAGACCGCTTCTCCCACTGTATGCTCCGATTGTTTAAAACTGGAAACGTAGGGTTAGAGAATCTTTTGCTTGGCGACATCTGCTTCATAGCCTTTATTATTTGTATATGAGCGTGGTGTACTGAAAAGTGTGCGATGGCTAACAGAGAAACCGTAGCTTAGCGGTAAGAGTACGGAAGATTTCCTCGGACTTCTAGATCGCCGGTTCTATCCCCGCTCGTGACTTTCACAAACTCTGCCCTGTGCGGATTTATTTTTATCCTCACTTTATGGAATGACTTTGTCATTATTGATCTTTTCGCCTAATACCTTTATTGTCATTATTGGTCTTTTCGCCTAACACCTTTATTTTTGTTAATGCTAATTTTTCTTATATTTATTTACCGGTTTGTACTCTTTGTAGTAAGTACCAGTAGCAAGATTACCATCCAAGATTCTGAAAAGCGTTTAAACAGAAATAGAAATATAATTTTAGTTATACTTACTCATAACTTAGGTAATCCGTCGCCCTTAAATGTTTTTTTAATGTTTTCATTTGGTTTATTTTTTAATATTCCTTATACAACAGATTCTTTCTAACAGATGTGTCGAAAAAGTACATATGCCATTTCCATGTAAACACTTTTTCTTGCAAAACAATTATCATACTTTTAACAGTTTAGCGCTTATGGAGCTTCCTGACTACCCAGCAAGGGATCAACAATAGATTGGTAAAGGCCTTCACGGGTCGAAAACCTCTTAGAAGCGCGATGGTCTATGGTCTATGAAAAAATTCACGGCACGGAGTATAATGCTTTATACTCCGTGATTCACAGTAATAAGTAAATAAAAGATCAGTAACCCTCACTGATATTGATGTACAGTAACTGGCTATGAACAATGATTTAGGACTACATCGTAAAAGTACGTTTAGAGCTGTTATCAAAAATCGGACAAAGTTGTCCCTTTTTATCTAAGTACCTATATACCTGAGAAATGTCTAAAAAATAAATGGTGTCGCGTCTAAAATGTATGATCATTTTAATTCTAGCTGTGTCCAAAGTTCTACAATAAGGAAGAGAGAGATATGCTATTTATAAAAGAAAACTGGCAACGTTTTGCATTGTTTTATTTCGGATATTTAATTTTGCGTAGTGAGATGTGTTTGTTTTCTTGTCATCCACGTGCTGTAAATTAAAGAATGAATGATCATCCGGTTGTGCAGTTATTAGGAGAAACTTTAATATCGAAACAAGGTGGTACCGTGCAAACTGTTTCATTATGTGGTAAAGGAAAATTTTTGGGCCTTTATTATTCTGCCTTTTGGTGTCCGTCATGTATAGCATTTACTCCAGAATTGATTAAATTTTACAAACAGTTCCAGAACTCAGATCGGAAAGAAACATTTGAAATTATATACATAAGTTCTGATTATGATCAAAAACAGTTTATGGAGCATATGAGCTCAATGCCGTGGCTTGCACTGCCTTTTACTGATCGATTCCGTCAGGTAAGTTTCGACATTCTTAAAAACTAGATTTGATTTTTGAATGTGCTTACAATTTGAACAACGAATATAAACGTTTAAACAATTTCCGGTTTTTTTTTTTTTTTTTTTTTTTTTTTTTCCTGTATAACTAAAGTCTTTGACTTACTGTTCAAAGTATAGCTTTGAACAGTAAGTCAAAGACTTTAGTTCAAAGTATAGCTTTGAACAATAAGTAAGTTACAGCAGCATTAAAAATGAAGAAAATCATTTGAATTTTTTCTGTCCATTATAAAATCATAAATTATTAATTTCAAAATTATATTCATTGTTATTAGAAAGTTATAAAACCCGAGAAATGCATTGTACAACAGCTCCAGGGTTCAATTTTATTATTATATTTATTTAATTGTTGCATGTATTTGAGCAGTCTAGTTTTAATATTCATAAAAGATATATACTGTTTCAAAGCAATTTTTACATAAGAAATATTTGAGAGATTACTTGTAAGTTTCCATGAATATAGTTTGTATTAACATTTTATTAAGTGTGGCCATTAAATAATCTATTTAATTTGAGGGTTAGATTAAATTAGGTTATTAACTAAATTATTTAATTTATTTAACTAAATATTAGGCTATTTAACATGACTATTTTTCCCATGACTTCCCATGGCTATTTTTCTTCCCATGGCTATTTAACAATATGTTATGTGGAAAATAACATATTGTAGAATTTTTTCATTTATATTTATGGTTGGTTTATTTAATTATGGCAAAACACTGAAGGACTATTTGCCTAAGAGGAGGGTTGCCTTTTAAGGGAAAATGTCTGATAGAAATGTTAGATATGGGAAAAACCATGAAAATGCCCATGCAGCCAGCCTGTTTGCTGGGAATCAAACTGCAGACTGAACTACCAGTGTTCAGAATTTTTACTGCTCGGCTGCTTGTGTACCTCATTTATGTTTATGTAATGTATGAAGAAAACCATGGAGTGATAACAATCAGCCATATGTTTTCAAGAGCTTTAACGACTGAACCACTTGTGAGCCATTTAATGTATGGATCTTGCTCAACAGTGTGACCACAAAGTGATCATAATATTTTTTCTCAAAAATGACTTTTAGTTAATTTAAATTAATGACATGAGTTTTCCAAATTTTATTGAAATATTTATTTGGTGACTGTTATAAAGGACATAATTAGTTAAACATTTATAAAACATGCTTTATAATTAATATAATGCTTTTTATTATTAAATATTTTTATAAACTAATTTCTTCATTGTGTGAAATATAATTTTAGATGAAAAAAATTTGCATTGCTTTATGATTAATAAAAAAAAATAATAAGTTTTAAATGCACTTTCAATCCAAAGAACAACCTAAATTTTATTATATTATGGGGCTATATGGAGGTTATTAATAAAGTCAGTCTAAATGTATATTTACTCAAGTTAATTTTTAAATATTATAGTACATTTAAACAGTATGTCAGTTGTCACTTGAAATGCATTCTAATCAAATTGTTGCTATAATATCTGAAAGGAGCAAATTAAAATGATAAATTTCATGTTTACAGTGGTTGTGCAAATAATATGTGCAATATTAAACAAGTAGTGTATCTAATATAGAAAGTATTCTAATCACGTACCAGCATCAAAGTATATAGTATTAAAGGTAAAGTATCAAAGTAGTAGATTTATTTCTAACTTTTTGGTTTCCCTTTCTTATTTTGTTTTGCATTGTTGTTGTATAAAATACATGTATGATAAGAATTAAAGATATTTATGTCTATTATTCCATATGGTGCAAAAGCAAAAGGCTACTCTGTAATATTTTACCTTCTTTAAAAAATTCAGAAATGCCTTAATTTATTTAATTTAGTCAGAATTGTAAGCACTAATTTTAGTCACTGATTATTAATTTTAAGCATTAATTAATAGTCAAATTTAAAATAAATTAATTCATTGGAAGATTTTATTTTAATGAAGGGACTGTACGTAATCTAATATATAATGGTAATTGATCTGTGTTTGTTCAATAATTCGATTATTACAATTAAATTTTAATTACTTCTTCATTATTTCCTCATATCAAGTTTCATCGCATGCAAACCATAATCTTAGAAGTTTTTTTTTTTCTTTTTTTTTTTTTTTTTTTTTTAATGCACTAAATGTATATGCAGAAGCATAAAAGCAAACATTTAGGTAAAATTTGCAAAATATGGGAAACTTCAGAAAAAATACAGTTTTTAGATATTACTGATTCTAAGGCAAATGAAAGAAAATACAATGCTATATTATAAGGAGCAGACAAATGAAAATGAGACATACTATTTAAAAACCATGGGGCGGAATTCGGTAATGCAGGTAAGTTTGTGTATAGAAGCACCCACTATTAAGAATTAAGAAAGAACAGTGTGAAACTCACTGCTGTGTCATTTGTCCACTAGACGTGCTCGCAGTGAAGCCAACTAGTCATGTATGTGTCTGCCAACACTGTGGTAGCTGGGAAAGGGAAACAGTGTGCTGTAGTGTATTTTTTTTTATGGCGGAAGGAGTATCAGACAGTAAAATTCATGTTTGAATGTCTGCTATGTATGGCAAATACAATATGTCACTTATGGGTGTATTTGAATTGAATAAACAATATCGAGAAGGTTGGGTGTCATTGAAAGATGGAAGTTGGCCAAGACAGGGTCATTATGTTATTATCCCATCTGTTATTGTTGTGGTGAATGCTGCCATCAGAAAAGATCAATCATTGATGGTGGAACACATTTGCCTCGTATTGGGCATTAGTCAGGGTATCGCTTATGCCATCTTGACCGAGCATCTGAAGGTTCAGAAAATATGTGTGCAGTTGGTTCCCCACAGCCTGATGGAGGAGCAGAAGTTGAACAGAATGTTGATGTCATTGCAGCATCTAGAATGGTATTACTATGAAGAATATCGTCTTCTCTCCTATATTGTCGATGAAACATGGTGCTATCATTTTGAGCCTGAGATTAAGGATCAGAGCCAAAAATGGAAGCACACGTCACCCCCATAAAAAAAATCCAAAGCCGCATACATCAGCTCCGAGAAAGTCATGTAGACCTCTTTCTTTGACAGCAAGGACCCTCTGCTCATTGACTTTCTAGAGTATGGTACCATAGTTAAAGCACACTGGACTCTTTGCAAAAATTAAGCGTGACCTAATGCCAGAAATGTTGAGAGATGGCATTACACTGTTACAAGATAATGTCTTTCACATGTTGTTTTGGTTAAGGCTATGCTGCAGAAGTTTTGCTGGGAAGTGCACGCACATCCTCCATACAGTCCCTTGTATTCCCACATTTTTGGAACCCCGAAGAAAGACATCCGTGGCTGTGGATTTGCGTCGGATGAAAAGGTGCATGTTTGGGTACAGTCGTGGTTTCATAGGCAACCCCAAAACATTTTTCCATCACGACATTGACTGACTTGTCTCACAGTGGGATAAATGTATTAAGAATTATGTCAATTATTTTTGAAATAGAAAACAGTTTAATTACTTTTTTTCCATCTGTCTTATTTTCATTTGACTGCCCCTTATAAAAAGATAGACAGTTGAAAGCTTGATATGAAATATTAGATAGCTGAATTAGAGTCAACACTGTATGTATGAAAAGCATGATATGAAATATTAGATAGCTGAATTAGAGTCAACACTGTATGTATGATGTTTCAGAATTCTCTGAGTAATAATGAAAAATTTGTGGTAAATTTTTAGTGATTAGTAAAGGAAATGATCAGATTGCTTAAAGTATTATAAATGAAACATTGATTCACATATATTAATTTTGTTTGTTTCTGTTGTAATAAATGCGTTTTCCTTTAAAAGTGAATGTTTTTTGTTTATTTATTTTTTGTAGACTGAACTTGCACGTCACTTCAGAGTACAAAGTATACCTGCATTGATTTTAATAGAATCAGATACAGCTGAACTTATTACTTCGTATGGTCGTTCATGTGTTATGGATGATCCTTTGGGCTTTTGCTTCCCATGGAGGATGAGGAATTCTGTTGAAGTTCTTCAGGAAATACCTTTGGTGTCATGTAAGGGGGATAGTGTATCATTTGAATCGATTTCATCATGTATCAAAGGCCTCTATTTCTCTGCTCATTGGGTGTGTATTGCAAATTTTTGAAAATACTTTTTATTGTTAGTATACTGAACTGTCAGTTTTCTCTGTTATGGTTTTTCAGTGTAAAATTGTGAATGATGTTTAAAGTTTTTTTTTTTAAATATTATATTATTTCAGTGTCCTCCTTGCAAAGCATTTACACCAACTTTAGTGAAACTGTACAAAAAACTAAGGAAAACTGGCCAGAATTTTGAAGTTATTTTTGTAAGTTCTGATCGAAGTGAAGAATCATTTAACCAATATTTTTCTGCGATGCCTTGGCTAGCTGTGCCTTATAGTGAAGAAAAGAGAAGAAAAGAATTGGCATATTTGTATGGAGTTGGAGGTATGGAATATGTTTATTACTTTGTGCTTATCTGAAATTTCTGTTAGGTATAGTAAGTACCCCTCATTCTGTCTTTCTGACAAAAAAGTAGTAGGGTAACTATGGATTTTTCTATTCTCATTGTCTGATTGATAAATTTGGCTATGTGTTTTTCTGTTCTCATTGTCTGGTTGATAAAATTATAATATAAAATTATATATAAAATTGTCTGATTGATAATATCTTACTTAGTGTATATATTTAACTTTTGTCTGTATGTGCCATTACACAAGTATGTATTTTTTGCCATAAAACTGGACTTTTTCTGAAGTGCCAAGCTCATTTTTACTTCTTTGTATGAAGTAAAAAGGAAGTATTGTAATCACGAAAAATTTTGGGTATCATAGTTCAAAGAAAATATCCATTTTGATGGCTATCAAATGCAATTTAACAATATTTTTGCATGACATCTGCACAAACAGACGGTACCGGAAAAATGCATAAAGGGAACACCAAACATTAAAAACTGCACAAAATTTTACCCTGCAAAATAACTTTATTAAAAAAATTTTTTAATAATGTAGGATTACATATAAAAATTACAATTAAATAAGCAATATCCCTTAATACAAATATTAATTATCCTGATAAATAAATTAGCCAACTTCCCGTTGCCTTCTCTTGACAAACCTCCAGTATCCAAGAGAAACATTAAATTTAAAAACTGCACAGTATTATCACCCTCATTTATCCCAGTGGCAACAGTGCTGATTTTAGCAACAATGGTAACAGTGATATATCAGCAACAGTGGCTGCATGCCATTGTTGCTGATATAATGAGAGAGAATGATCAAGTTGATGGGATTTCATCAAAAAACATAAAATAAAAAAAAATCTCATTCAAACTTTGAAAAAATCACTTTGAGGTCCACTGGCTCTTATCTAGTTGCACCTACTATGTACCAAATTTTGTAGCCCTGGGTCTATTAGTTTACGCACAGCATGAACAAAAGACGTACACACATACAGACAGCAGACTCTTCCTTTTATATATAGAGATAGATTAGCAGCTAAAAAATGCATCAAGAATTAACAGTATCAGAATTTCTTTGTATCTCAGAATAAAACAGAAGAGGATATCATTCTAATTTTAGAATAAATGCATGAATATTCCTTATCACTAATATTTGTTGAACATGCCATGTGGGGTGGCTCAAACTTTAAAAAAATTTAGTTGGGAAAAAAAATGTACTTGATTGATTGATTAATGTAAAAAAATATTGCATTTATTTATTCTGAAAAGTTTTTTTTTAAAGATATTTTGAAATTTTTTTATACTTTAATGCACTGAGCTGCAAACATTTTACACTATATAATACAGTTATGACTAATGGCAGTTTTATCAAGAAAAACTGGTATATTAAAATGACTAATGGTACATATAATATATTACCTAGAAAAAACTCTCTGATTTAAAAAAAATCTATAACATAACCTGTGTCTTAAAATGAAGGCCCCCAATAATGCAACTGAGGTGAACTTTTTGCTTCATAAATCTGCTATTATCATTTTCATTCATTATTGTTTATAAATAATTTTAAATGAAATAAGTTAGGTAAGTCTTGAGGTACAGCTTTGGAATAACATTAAAAGAGTCCAAGGTGCCATTTCATTAAAAATGTAATCTAAAGCTTATCAGATGGGCCTCAGCCATGGTGAACAAACAGCACATACAGACGCATTATTGGGCATTAGTGCCCGTGAAGGCATAGGATTGGGGACTTCTGCTAAGTAGCATACATATCTTTCTAAATTGTTTTCTGTAACAGTAAACATTTTGATGTTTTTATATTGTTTAATTATAGGTATTCCATGTTTAATAATACTTGATGAGAATAACCGTGTTATAACTAAAGAAGGTCGAATGGAAGTGAATGAAGATCCTGATGGTGAGGTATGCAAGATTTAATTTTAATCAGGAGTATTCTTTGTTTTGGCTGGTGTGTATTCTTAGACTGAAATATCCTTTATTGAGAACTGTTTGTATTTACATTACACATGAGAAAAACTAAGAATTTTGATATATTTAGCCTATTATTTTAAGAATCAAATATGGAACCTAAATACACTTTTTTCTTTTCTTTATTTACTTATGTATATGGCAATATTATTTAATTATTGTATTCTATGGGTTCGTGGATTTGGAGTAATTGACGATAACACTTCATGAAGAATCAAAACGCACTTTATTCACCAGTATTATATAGGAGAGTTCCAAAGACACGTTGACAGTGTTCGAAAAGCTACAATAAACATGCTGAAACAATCAGCAACACAGCCTTCGGTCAACAATGGTAAAGAGAGCTTCATGGCAAAGCACTGAAGTACAGCTACTGACTTGTTTCAGTTGCTCTCAAGTTAATCTCTGAACTCAAAACACTACTATTGAACTCAACATACTACTTGCTCGGCGTAACAGGCAGTGTATATGTAGCTTTGACCCACCTTTGAGAACATTCCCACTAAGAATGTTGCCAAATGGCCGATTTCATGTCAAATATGGCAATCCTGCCTTTTGCTGCCACTTTCTGGCAACCCTAAACCCACTTTGCGAGGAAGCTATCTCATCAGAGCTTGGCGTTTTGCAACAATACATTAAGTGCCTTAAAATTTGCTTGAAATTTGCTTAAAATTTACATTTGCTTGATTGTGAGTAAATAATGGGCACCTTAAAAGTGATAAATAATAATCTACTCAATTGGCTATAAATTCTTTGAAATTAATTTTTTTCTGTTAAACATATTTTAGAATTTTTAGGAATTTCAGAATTGAGTGTAATTTTGAATATTGTTTTCCAAAATATAGACTGAACTGATTTTGTCATTATTTTACATTTGGTTATTTTTAGTATAGATACAGAAAATTTATGTTGAACTGTTAGGGAACAAGAGAAATTGAATATTTAGAGTTATGATATGGTTTTATCAATTTTATAATTGTATTTTAACGAAACTAAAATTTAGATTAAAGAGCAAGGATATGATAATGATACTAATGGATTTTTCATCACAAAGGAAAGTATTTCAGTTATGAAATCATTTTGTATAGTTTTAGACAGTACTATTTAAGTACATACATTATACATTTAAAAACTATTATACAGGTGATTTTTGAATTATCTAAGGTTAGAGATGCAAGCAAACCACAAAGTTAAAAGATTCATATGCAGTAAAACCAATAATCCAACATGGTAGGGACTTTGGCAATGTCTTATTATTAAATATGCTTGATTAGCAAAATTTTTTATTCTGTATTTTTTAAATATTACTTCTTGTATTTTAAAAATGAAAAGTTTTATACAAAATTATAGGAGTGTTAATCTTACAAAACATATTTAATAATTAAAAATATGCTCAAAAACTATATGCATAATGCAGCATTCTCAATAATTTGTGTTTTGAAATTTGTTGCATTGTGCTATTCCATGATGCCTTTTCAAACAGAATTTGAAGGCTTACCTATTTCATTAACTCAACATTTATTATTTCTCATATGCTGCAGTGATTATCCAGTGTTCTAGTGTCTACAGTTTTGTCTTCGAAAACTCTTAGTGGTGGATTGTTCTCTTCACCACTTCAGAGTGGCATGTACTCAAAAACTGTGTTGTGTAGTTGTCATGAAGGCATTAAATACGTGCTATTTTGTTACAAAATCTTCCAAAATATGGACATTTACATCTCTTAATTTACTGTCTCCACTTGGTGATAAATAGAGAGTCATTTCAGATAATTAGCAACATTCAGATAATTAGTATTTGGAATTAGGTTTTCTCCCCGTTTGCTAGCCTCAGCTAGGTTTCTTGCAGTGCATGAAATTATATACTGCAGTAGATATAGGTAAGGGGCTCTGAATGACAGAGAGCAAAACCGAAAATGTGCTTATGGCCATTACTATTATACAGTCTTTCTGATAAGTTCTTGTCTTATGTCTGCTGCTGCCCATATGATAGTTAGTGAATGCCTTATTAGAATCTTTAGCAATAACATCATTCAACCATATCATTGCTTCGAATTTTGTACAAGGTAATTTGTCAGTGTGACCAGTTTGTTTTTCAGAAAGTAATGGTGTGATCTCTGTTTAACTCATTTATTTGTGAATTCAGTGTCTTCGAATTATTCTCATTTGTTTGCATTGAGCAAATGGGAATTGCATATCACATTTGCAAAACAACATCACCATACAACCCTTTAAACACAGTGGCTGAGAAATATAACTACACTGGTGTGCAAAAATTAAGGACGAAGTCGAAAAATTAGCATATCAGCTGAACGAAGAGGCAGAGCGGACAGAAAGACCAATCAGGAGATTAAGTAAGGTCATGTACAGTAGCACATCGCAGATATGATGTAGACGTGATGGGGAGTATTGAGTAGTATAGCATGTTGTCGGTGTAAGATCGTATTTCTGGCAAAGAGATTGCATGCCGATAGCAGTAAACAACCGAGTTGCTGCCTCAGCAAGAAATGGCGAATAATCAATGTTACACATTGATGCTTTTACCCGGGTCAAATCATTGGGAAGTTGGAGGAAGGCCGCAGTGGGACAAGTGTGGCTGCAGAGTTCGGAATTGCTCATGGCATTTCACGACTTTGGAGACAATTTAAATACAGGAACAGCTATCCGGGGTTTAGTAGTGGTCGTCCACGAGAACCACACCCGCAGATGACCGTTATAATTGCCTTACAGGCCAAAGACGCAGCAACACAAGAAATCGCTATACAAACAGGACTGGATGACCGATTCGCATTTTACCGTGGCCGAAGACTGCCCGGGTGGTCTGTTGCACGACGCCCTGTCGTGTGTACCACTACGCCTGCCATCGGAGAAGGCATTCTCTGTGGTGCCGGAAAACTGGAATTGGAGAGTGATGAATGGGGACGAGTACTCTTTACAGATGAGAGCAGATTCATCTGAGTAGCGATTCTCATCGCATCTCATCGGAGAAGACAGGAAGCCGCATCATCCCTCGAACATCATTGAAAGGGACAGGTATGGAGGTTGCGGTGTTCTCGTTGGGGAGGCATCATGCTTGGTAGTCGTACAGACCTTCACATCTTCGACGCAGGTTCAGGCAACGGGACCCGTTATTGTAACGAGATTCTTCTTCCATATGTGCGTCTTTTTAGAGGCGCTGTGGGTCCGCAGTCCGTTTCATGGACGACATGCACCATGTCATCCCACAGTAGCTGCCGAACAGCTCTTAGAGAGTGGGATATTGAACGTATGGATTGGCCTTCACGATCTCCGGATTTCAATCCCATCGAGCATGTATGGGATTTCTAGGTCATACGCTTGGCAGCTCGTACCTTACACCAGTAACGATTCCGGAGCTTCGATTGGCGCTGCAAGACGAATGGGCAGCAAGCCTCAACAACTCATTGACCCCATCATTATCAGCATGGGCAACGCTGTGAAACCTGCCTAGTAGTCAGGGAAGACATATCCCCTTAAAAGACCGGATGTTTTTTTGCTGGACACCCACCCATCACAGGGATGTTCGGCCTTCAGTCGCATTACGTTCCATGCTACTTTTTCAACAAGCTTTCTTTTTATCCCTCTTGATTTCTCTTTTAGTAAGTGTTGCTTACATTGCTCATGTCCTTACGTATTGGGGATCTTACGGTATTAAATGTGTTGATTTGGAAAGCTTTTGTACAAAGTTATATTGAAAAAACCGTCTTGTCCTTAATTTTTGCACACCAGTGTATATACATTTTGCGATGGATATTTCTAATGTATTTTTGACCTCTTTGCCTATTGATTAATTATTCATTCTGTGTCATCTGCATATCTGGCTAAGAGATAATGTGTGCTAAATTTTAAGGTTGTCAAATAATTTTTCTATGCTTGTAGATTTTTTTTTTATTTATATCATATTTTATTTGAAAATAAGTATGTCTTGCAGTTTAATTATCTTGATTAGCAGGTAGCAAAAAAAAAAAAAAAAAAAAAAAAAAAAAAAAAAAAAAATTGAATTTAAAATATAGTAATTTAAATTCATCCCCATTCTAATGAAACAGTCTTAAGATATAAAATATGATCAAATGTTATAGGATTTCCCATGGAGACCCAAATTGGTAGATGAACTTGGAGAAAAGCATATTTCCAAACTAAATGAGGAGCCTTGCCTCATTCTTTTTACAGGTTTGTATAGCATCATTATATTTTAATCATTCCCTCTGTAATCCAGTTCCCCCCCCCCAGTGCTTAAAAACTGTAGAAGTACTGTGTAATTTGATTTTCATATTTGTTTATTATAAAGAAATCGGCTCTTTCAGTTTATTCTTTTTACATATTTTTTCTCGTTAAAGAAAATTAAACTCAGCTTTATAAATTGGTTCTTAATATCTATTTTCCTATCTAATAATTGCTTTTAAAGTTTATTATATATCCAATTGTGCTTTGTCTTAATTAGTTATATGAACAGTTTTCTTGTACCATAATCAGCTCTTTAAAATCCATAAATGCTTAGGAGATACTGAAAAGATTATAAGGGTAACAGTAATCAAACCATATTTAATGCTAAACCCTCAAAAGTTAGCAAGTTTCTTTCACAGCAGGAGAAATTGAATACTAATAAAAAGTTTTAGTATTCATTGTTAAATGTTACAATACCTAAATCTGAAATCATTATTGTATTGCTTTTATGTAACTGCCTGCATCATTAACATTACATGAGAATCATATGACATTTGATTGATGATTTAGTATGAAATGATGGATTTGGAATTAAAACATTGGAAATGATGCAGTTTAGTGAGGTTTATTATAAGCAGATACTATTTTTATGATTGAAAGCAAAAATACTTATAATATTAAAATAGAGAGTTAGAGACTATTCCAAGTTAGAGTTAGAATTTTGATTTACAATTTTTTTTACCATATATGTATATGGAATTTTTTGTACTTGCTATGCAATCTGTTTTCACATTTGTGAATTCTGATAGATTCTGAAGCTGAATTTTTATCAATAGCATTCTAAGGTATTTTCTTCCTCCTTGCCCCATGCCCTTGTGGTGTTAGTGGAAGCATATGCACACTCAGCGCGTATTCGAGAGGTCCAGGGTTCGAGTCCCGGCAAGGGCATTGCACATTTTTCATGTTTCCTGGGTAAAGGGGTGGGGGAAACCTAATGACTCTACAGCATAAATATTTAGGAAGGCTAGAAAATGAAAATTAATTTTAAAGAGAAAATTAAATTGCAAAATCGAATCTACATTATTGTAAGAAGATTGTAATATTGTAACAAAAGGGGGGGGGGAGAAAAAGCCCGAAAGGGCTGTTAGTGGAAACACAATTTTGTGCGGATTCACTTTAAATGTCGTCTGTTGTAAATGCATAGTTTTTCACTTTATGAGTCTGTTGCCATTTGGCAATCTTTCAAATTTATTCTTGTCTTGTATTAACAAACTAAGCTAGTTAAAAGCAACAGATGCATTCTTAAGAATAATATTTTTGAATATAATTTTAAGAATGCATTTGTTGCTTTTGCAGTCTAAATGTGTTTTTATCTAGTATGTTATAAAATGTTTCGGTGTTCCACCTGAGCTATCTTTTCTGATAAACCATCTTGAACTTTAAAGGACTCCTTTTGGGTAAGTGTTAAAAGTCTCAACCCTTTTGAGTTTCTCCCTCTTATAGTATTTAAAATAACCTGTTTTGTTATTTTGAATTGATAAATTTAAAAGAGAAAAAAAAAAAAAAATGCTCTTGGAACTTTGATCACAGCTTAGTTACGTTAAATTTCAGAAATGGCAAATTCCTTTCTGTGATATAAGATTTAATATACTGCAAATTCCTTCCATGGTAAAAAAAGTTGGCTGGAAGGAATATATTTTTTACTATTTTTATTAACATTATTATTTTGACATTTTATTCATCTATAAAAGCTCAGTTATCTAGAAAACTTGAGAAATACTAAATGCCAGATAAGTGGAAATTCTAGATCCAGTTGGATGTATAAGAAGTGCAAGACATGGCAGAAAAGCAAATGAATGAAAACTAAAATAACATAAATATGGGCATTTCTCACTCTGTCAAATGAATGGGACTATGAGTTCCCTTGCCCTGCCAAACTAGGCACAGGGGTTCAATCTTTACCCTCACACTTTGGAGAGAGAGACATATCATTTTTGCGACACTGATCATTGTCAGTGATTTGCTGCTTGCCAGTCACATGGGCTGCCCGTCGTCCCACATGCCCAGGTCACCACCCCCAGGCAGCACTCCGGGCTACTAGCCCTTGAGCCCTAGGACATGGGCCGACCAATATGTGATCTCTTCAGGGCCTTTAGAACCAGAAGGTTCGTAATTTGTATACCTCATGGCCGAGACCGCCTAGGTACAGATCCTGGCTAGTAGCTTCACAGAGTTCTCTACATTAACCTGGGGGGGGCATGAATGAAAGAAAGAAACTTGGAAAAACAAAAGTTTAATTTAAAATTATGTAATGTGCCGTATGTATAACATGTCAAAAATAGGACTGATTGTTATGCATTCTTGGTGTTCAATGCATAATATTAAAGTATTTTAAATTAATTTTATGTAGACTGTATCTGAAGATTCTCCATTTGCTTTACTTTTCATAATCCTTTATTCTAAGCTGTAGCTGTAATATACAGTACAAAGTCCGTAATCGGGACTTCCGGATTAGGGGTTTTTCCGGATTATAGATCATCAATTTAAATCTGGTAAAATGGCATGTAGAAATTATACTATTAAAAATATGAAACCATAATTTCTGAAATAAAAAGCAATTATGATCTAAAGGGTATCAAATTTTACAAAAAAAAAAGCTTAATATTTTTTTGTTTACTTCATTAAACGTTTCTTTCAATGCACGTATGCATAAAGCATATGCACGTAATATATGCACATTCTTTATGCGCATGCATTCTCTATGTGCATTCTTACTAAAATTTGTGGTTTTGAGGTCCGGATTTAGGTCCGGTCCGGTATTAAAAAAGCAATTTCCTTATGGTATGTACTGTTGAAAAAATAAACTGACTACTACTTTGGGATTACCAGCCTTGTAACAAACAAGTAGGGTATTAATAATTAAACAAAATACAAGCTATTTGAAAAATTTAATACTTTTATTTCAGTTTTATTCTTTGTTACAAATTTATCAGTGTGTTTAAAACAATTATCTTAAGCTTGCAGTTTTAAAAATTTTAGATTTTTCTGTTGCAAATGCTTTGTGCAGTACAGTACATTTAGTTAGTAGGGGGTTGGAAATAAAAGTTAATGTACTTTTAGTTTGATCTCTTAGTGTCTTTGAGATTGTGAATTTAGTTTTTGCAAACCTTCAAGCTACAGTCTTAATTAAAAAAAATTAAAACCATTATTTTTCTTCTAAATCAACAATACAGAACAGTTTCATTCTCACAGTATTATGTTTTAGGTAATATCTTAAATGCCAGGCATGGTCAATAAAAAAGTCACAGAAAGGTGTGTCCAAATTCAGAATTACCATGGTGGTGAAAAGGAATTGTTTTTGAGTGTATTTGTATTTGTTGTAATTATTATTTGAAAGTATTCATATTGTATTATCTCCCATCACCTCCCAAAAATCTGCTTTTCTTTAAATGTGTCTTAATTTATCTGCAGTCACAAGTATGTTACGTTGAAATATTCTGAATTTATATTTTAATATTTATTTTCCTTTGTTACAGTTTGTGAAGACAAGGAACTAGAATTAGCTCATTATGCTTTATTACCTGTTGCTGAAGAATATCAGGCAAGATTAAAGCGAGCCACAGTTGAGGAAACAAAAATTCCTCATTTGAATTTCTTCTATGCTGGTGATGTGAGTAAATTAAAAAAATTTGTATTTTTTATGTAATAAGTAGAAAATTATAGAGTAGAACTCCAATTATCCGAAATCATTGGGTGGGACCAGACTCCCTTCAGATAATCAAAAATTCATATTATTAGATTTTTTCCTAAGAAAGGGTCGACTTGCACTTTTATTAATTACTGTACATTAAAAATGGGAGTAGAAAAAAACTATTTTCGAAGAAAAAGAGGTTTTAATGAATTAAAATGAAAAGGCAACACTTTTAAGTACATGTTATATAGTGTACTAGTACTTACAATTGCTGAAAGTCATTGCTTACTGAGCATCTCGGTCAAAGTAAGCTTTTTGACAGTCTTCATCCATTTTCAGGCAGCCAAGTCACTCATCCGCTAGACAGTGAGAAATTGCATGTGGTCACATTTGGGCTGATGCTCCATCCACTTCAATGCAGTTTCAAGGTCGGCAAACGCTTCACTAGCTGACGGTCCCGTGTCTGCTTCAACTTCGACATTTAAATGATCTTCTTCCTTGACATTCTCTCACACTTTCAATAAGTTCATCATCATTTAGAATTTAAAATTCGGGGTCTGATGAATCACACACCATCCATTCTGAAGTATCCTCAGCACTAACTTCTGAACATCCAGGAATTTTCAAAAGAATGGTTTCTTAATTCTTGAAGTGATACGTCATCCTCATCTTCTCCTGTTTCTTCTTGAGCTTCTTTTTCCATTTTTTCCTTTTCCTTCAATTGATTCTGAAAAATTCAGGAATTCTGAACGCGATTCAGATAGTCATAGTTCAGATAACTGGAGTTGTTCTGTAATAAATGCAAAAGATTTGATGAGTACTGGAGAGAAAACAGAAGGGAATTATTGACAGATTTTTTATTGACATGAAGGCATTCCTTCCCTTAGGCAGATAGCCCTCAAGGCTTTGCCATAATCACACACATACGCACACACAAGTAACAAATTATTTTTAATACAATGATTTTGATAATGCTTTATTTTTTGTGCTGTCCTCCATAAAAATGATTTTTCATGCATAAAATTTTCTTCAACCTAAAATAACATTAAAAAGAATTACTAGTGATGAATTAAAAAAATGGCAGCAAGAATTGATCTGAACACTTTGAGTCAGTTCTGTCCCACTACCCTAGTTGTACTTACTGATGAGAGGGGACTTAATATTATTTAGAATTTTATCCTCAGTTTTCTTAATTGATTTTTTAGAAGTGTAACTCTCATACATGTACCTTTAATTCCTCTATAATTATCAGGTTATATAATATCAGGTCTCCATAATTAATTCAGGTGAAACCAGTGATCTTATGAATGGCATGCTTATTCTATGTAAGGGAGAATGGTTGATATTCATATTGTGTATGGCATAAACCATGAAAATAACCATGCAGCCAGTCCACTTATTGGGTCTAAATTATGCTACCAGTATTCAATACATTCTTCATTCTGAATTCAGAAGCTGAGAGAAAATTGGTTTAAAACTTGTAAAAGTTAATAGACACATAAAAGTAGTCATCATCTGTAAGAGAAGAGACATAAATTATAAGTATAGATCTTTGTTTTCGAATATAATTTACTTATTTTCAGACTTTAACAGTCATTTCTAGTGACAGCTAGTTATAATGACCAGTAAATGTTTAATTGTCTAATTTAATCTTTTCATTTTTCTAAATTTTTATCAGAAATTGCATTCTCTGTATGTAAACTTCCAATATGTAATAAATTTGTGCTTTTTTAATGCTGTATCATTTCAGGCTGAAATATGTGATTCCGTACGTGATATAATTGGATTTGGAGATGATGTTCCATTTTTAGTGATTTTGGATATACCAAATGGCAAAAAATATATTCATGAAAGGAAAGAAAAAATGACATCAGATATGATTGGAAAATTTGTACGAGACTTTGTTTCACAAAAACTGACACCTTGTACTATTGGAACATGAACTATACCATCATTTAAAAGTGAACTTTGTTCTTCAAACTAACAAATTTGAATCTTTTAACACTGATTTTAAATGAAAGTTGTCTAAATTATTTAAAAAAAGCAGGCATTTGTAACTAGAGCAAAATTAGTTTAACATTTTTTAAGAAATTTTTCTTTATTCATGTAATGTATAGGTAAATTTTATCCATGTTTATTTTAGTTGTGTAAAAGTATTCTTTACCATAAATATTTATAAAGTTTTTCTATAGTTGAAGAACTTATTTTTAACCTTACAGACAAATACTTAGGTGTACCTAAATGCACACAATTTTTATAATCTTGGTACAAAGTCTGAATATGCTTGAAATCTCTCTCAGATGTAATTTAAAATAAAAGGGCAGATTTCACGTATTATATTTGATTCTGCTTATTTTGCTAAAAATGTGCTTTTGTTACTAACATTAGAACATTTTAATTATACTTAAAATGTTTTTAAAGTATAATTTTTCAAAGTATTTGTTTTTAAAATACTATTAAAAAGTCATTTTTTAATTTTCATTGTATATTTTTTAGACTAAATTTCTCAAGGAAATTAAAACTTAGTTATTTATTTATAATTACTACAAATATACCATTACCTTTTGGAACAGGGTTGTCTTATATGCATTTGACCACCGTGTCACAGATCCAGCCTCTGTCATATATGAATCACCATTTAAATGCAGTGTTAGGACGGGTGTAACACATATGAATTTTTAGATCGAATGTTTAATTAGTATTATCTTTTTTTGCTGCTAGAAGTTGCCTGATGTCTGTTATGGTAGAATTTTTTGAAATTGAATAATATTGACCTTCATTTATTTTTGATATTTTGTTTCAGAATCAAAGCAGAAATCGAGGAGGGGTGTTGAGTAGTGTAAATAAAATAACTGTCTCGCCTGATATAAACAAATGGGGATGTTCTGGATGCTTTTGAATACTTTTGTTTTTATTTTTGGAGATATGGCGATATGTATCTTATTGTTGTAGAGGTTTTATTCATTTTTCTTAAAGTTTGGCTATCCTTGAGAGGAATGTTGAATATTTTGTGTATCGTGTAGCAAAACATTTTTCATACTTCAAATGGTAAGGAAGATATAATGATAAAATTTTCAAATTATTTCTGAGAATTATCTGAATGTCCCTCTCATAATGTGCCCAAAATTGGAACAATTAGACCAAAAATTTAATTTAAGCAAATGTTTTCCAAACTTAGCAGCTGAAATTACTGGTGCCAACAACAGTGCTTCCTGTCAGCCAGCAGTTCGATGAACTGTTCGGTGACTGAGGCACCTATCGCAAAAGGATTAATAAAAGTACTATATGCAGTTTTTATTTATAACTGTTCAAATGTTAAGAAAATGAGTTTTCTGCATTTAATGAAAACAAAGTGTACTAAATTTTACATTTATTTAAAAATCTTATTTGTATGATTATGTAAATTAATATATATACTCTTTCAGTGGCGAGCATAACTGGCACCCGGGGCAAAATATCTTTTTGGCACCCTCCCCCGTCAAAAAAACACAGTGATATGATGAAAATCTTGTTTGGAGACCATCATACACCACCTTGCCCCCCCTCGCTACGCCACTGTACTCTTCTGTTCAATAAGTTTGTGGAAATGTCATGCCATGTGTCTGAAACATGTAATAATTGAATTTTGTTATTAGTATGTTTTGCTTAGAAAGTATGTATGGAATGATACTGCCTAGAACAACTTAATTTATATTGTAGGCATACAAAATTAAAGCATTTTTCAGTTATTTAGCAAAATATGACATTTTGACCAATGAGCATTTGAGCCAAGAAACTTGGTTTTCATTGATTAGAAACAAACAAATCTTTGTCATGCTTGGAAGAATGAAAGAAATACACTTATTTGAAATTTGGTAAATCAAATAAGCTGAGCACCTTTTTTGATTAACCAGATTTTTTATTCACTGATTCTACTGTTCTCACTTATCAAGAAGGTTCCATGTTGTTTTAAACAGTTTAAGTTATCCAAAGTGATGCAATGGCTAGTTTATTACTTATTTAAAAATGACTTTATATCAAAGTTGGTCAGTAGTACAGGAACATATCTACCAACTTTTACAAAATTTTCTTTACAAAACATATGGCAGTTTTATGACCTTATTTGCAAAATTGATTTTTTTTTTTTATGAATTTTGCAAATTTTTATTAAGATGCCATAAATTATGCCAGTTTGGTGATTTGTCTCCAAGACTGTATTTTAAACACCTACTCTTTGCAGGTATTTGCATTACTTTTATTACTTTTTCCATGTGTCATCAGGTTTTGTGACTCGGCTTATCAGTATCTGAGTGCCAAAGTTGCCCAATACTGGTAGTTTGACCGAGGTTCAAATTCCAGAAAATGAGCTTGCTGCATGGGCATTTTTTTTTTTTTTTCATGTGTAATATGGATACAAGATACCCTTAGAAAGTTCTTCATGAAGGCATTTCTTGTCTTAAGCTGATAGTCCTGGCATGTTTTTTTCATAATCAAGCCAGCCACTTGGCAACTAATCAACTTCTCAGGCAATTTTTAGATCAATTTCCATGCACAAATTTTGATTTAATAATCAACAAATTTCATAACTTTTTAAAGCAAATATAATTGCATTGTTTTGATATCCTTAAAACACATTAAAATTATATTTCTTAGAAAAATAACGTTCAGTTAAATATTTTTATTTCGTTCTATCATATTTAAAAATTTTTATTTTCTTTTTGATGATTTCTGAATATGTTTATTCTAAAATTTAAACGTATATTAAATGTATGGAAAAGTGTGCAAGATAATAAATGGGATCAAACATACTTTCTGAATTTCTTTTTAATAAAAGCAATTGAAATTAATTTTATTTATTTTAATTTTGCATATGTTGTGATAAAGTTCATGATTTTTTATGATGATTCTTCATGCCATTGATTCAAAATATTGAAATATGTATTAGTTTTCGTTACAAAATGAACTTACTGCTTTTACTGTGAATTTTATTTATTTATTTTTAAATCTTTATTTAAATTTTTTTAAATATTTATTTTCTTAAACCTTTTTTCATTTACTTTTATAAAATTGGCAGATACGTGCATGTGCTCCAGTAGATGTTATTTCAAAGGTGACTTTGGTAACAAATTTTTACATTTCAAATACAATTGTTCTACAAATGCTTTCCATATACATTTTGAATGCAGGAGTATGTATTTTACTTTTACTGCAAAGTTCATTGAGTTCCATCCCTGATTTAAGAGGGTATGTTGCTGTTATATTTTGGAGATTTATTATATGATGCAATTTTTCAGCACATGTAATTGTGAAAATAATTTTTAGGGGCACTGTGAATCATGAATAGTAGAAAGTTTTTTCTGAACTTAACATTTGAAATAGTTGTTAATTATTAATATGCAATTTTGAAATTGAAATATATTACATGCTGTTATGATAAAATACTGATGAATTTTTATTTAATTTTATATAATATTAAAATATATTTGTAAAAAGTGCAGAGAGTTATTTTTGTATGTTCAGCAGATGTAAAAGATCTGCACAAAATTATGATAAACCTTTATGTTAGAATAATATATTTTAAATATTATTTGAACCTGTAATATAAACTGATGGGAAAAATTAAAGAAGCTTCTATTAAATTCTTACTTGAATGATTTTGCAGTCAAGAATTTGAGACTTCTAAGAACTTAGGACTCTATTTTTTCTTGCCTTTTGTACTTTCAAAAAGCAGAACTGCATTTTTTTGCAAAATAAATTTAAATAAGAACATAGGAAATGCACCAGCTCTGACGCCGGCCCTGAGTATGACGGGGACAAGCATTATCACCAATTAGAAGAATGTTATTATTGATTGCACTCCTTAAACTACTTGACATAAGGATAAAATATTTTATCACTTTATATTTCAGCATTCATAGCTGCTCTGATAAAAGTATATAAATCAGTTGCAGCCATTTATAATGATATCCAACCATACCATGATTCCACCATCTTTGTATCGATGCTTTTCATAGATGTTTTCAGGCTTGTTGGGTGTATTTTGCACTCTCCACATTTTAATGTATGGAAAATCATTCTCCAAATAGAGATGGTACTCTTCATTAAAAAATACTCAGCTTCAGTCTATTGTACTCCATTCATAATGATCTCTGCACCATCGCAGCTAATTTCACAGCCCAAGTTAGTGGGAGACAGATCATGTGCCTCCTTGTGTGCAGCCGCCTCTTATGTACCCTGTCACTCATGGCATGTATGGATAGTCGAATTCTTGTAGCTGCAGTAAACTTCATTGCAACTTGGTTTGATATTAGTTGTCTATTTCTTTTAGCAGTCTTTGTCAAACGGTTCTAAGATCTGTTATGTCAGGTTTTCGACTTTTTGACATTAATTGTGTCCTTCTTCTATTCTCTCAATCATAGGCCATCAGATGCTTTCTCAATGACATGCTCCATCTTTCATATGTAAAAATTTTATCCAATTAATCTTAAAATTTTGAGAATTAAAATTTGAAGCATCCCTTTCCATGTGTGCTGAAAGAGGGAGTGTAAACTTTACATATTTCTATGTAGCGAAGGTGAATCCCATTGGATTACATGGATCTTGAACTACTATATTCCATTGGCCTTCACTTAACAGAGTTAATGTAAAGTACCTTTTTACACTTGTTTCTTTAATTTTTCCTGTTAGTATATTTGTATGTTTGCATGAGCTATATTTATTTTCATATTCCCCCTAATGTTTTTCAGCATATGATTTAGAAATTTTTGATTCTAAGGAAGTAATGTATGACATATTGGACTGCAAAACATAATGTATAATTAAAAAGAATAGTATTGAAGATAGTAACTGCTACCAACTTTTTTGAAATATAGAGCATAATAATATCAGTACATCTTTTCATGTGTAGTGCTTAAACTGCCAAGTTCTTCCTTTATCTTTTATACTCACAAATGGTGTGCACTGCATAATATTTTCTTCTGCATTTTCAAGAGGTAATAGTAGGAGAAAATATGTAAGTAATTATTGTAATTGTGAGAATAACAAAATTTCTTTATTTATTTCTTTGGGAATTTTTTTATTTCCAAGTTTAAAAATTTTTTTCTTATATAAATTGTAGTCTACAATTGATCTTCAGTTGAATGAAATATTTTTTAATGTAACTTTAAATATGTTGTAAGGTTAATTTTTAATATGTAGTGTAATATTTGTTATTAGGTAAAATGTGAAGGATATTATCATTTTTCTTTTCTTTTTTTCTTTTTTTTTGGGGGGGGGTCATGCATTCCCTGTCTAGTCAGTGTTCTTTTATGCCTTTTGCTGGTACAAAGCTTTATTTTTACTTGTAATTTGTTGTAATATTTTCTTGCTTGCTTATCTACTGTAAAAGTTCATCTTTATTTCTAGTCATGTTTTTCCCCCCATTCTTGCAGATATAGATTTCATGTATATATTTTATTTATATTTATTTGGGCTTATTTTAATTAAAAAAATCATTTTTTTCGCATATTATAATGTTTTATATATCCTATGTATTTACTGATGGTAATCATTATATTACTTGTTTTTTTTTAAATGAAATTTATTTGGTATTTTTTACAAGCTGTTCTTCAGAAGCAGCTAACAATTAAAAGTATATTAAAACCACCATGAAGTATTATATATTTTAAAGAAATGTAAAACCATAATTATATACTTTGGCTTTCTGCTAAGTTCTTTTAAAAATCACTGATTTTATGCCATGAAAAGGCATACTGCTAATTAATTTTGAATTCAGTATTTTAGATAAGTTGCTATGTATGTGTATCAGTTAACATATTTGTTTATTAATTTAAAATTAAAAAGAGTAATGAAAATTTCACCAATAATTTTTACTAAAGATTATAAGGTATTGTTTCATTATACATTAGATCACTGTACTTCAAAAAACACGTTATATATTTTTGAAATATTTTTATATAGCTAGTTGTATTTCTGTAAAAATTTGTCAGCTTAGCTGTCTGGCTAACTTTCAACTTAATTATTGAAAACTTTTTAGGCAAGTGCTATTAACTTGAGAATAAAAATCCCAATACTAAGTATATATATATGAATTAAAGAGAAGTAATAATTATTTGAATAGTTTGCTCATTTCAAGAATATTTTGGTGACATTTAAATATAATGTAACTTAATACATGAATTGTAGGAATTTTTTATTCTGCATTTGTATGATATTAAATGGAATGCATTTTTGAATGTTTAAATAAATGTAATTATTTTGTGTTGATATTATCTCCAAGGCTTTAATGATGCTTTAAATTGCAATATTTTTATGTTGTAATGAATTTATTTTTTAATATGTAATGTATTATTTAAAGTGTTATTTTATCGAGTTTGACTCATATTCTCTTAACAAGCATTGTAGTCAAAGTTATTGTATAGATTTTGTGTACTGTGGTGATACTGTATATTAAATGAAAATTTCAATTATTTACATTTGTTGTTTCATGTATTTGTATTGAGGATAATCTAGATGTAATAGTAGTGTAGTAACATAAAGCATTAATTTTTTAACTATCCTTTTATTCATAGTGGAATGTGAAAGATTATTTTTGTTAGTTTCATACTAGTTTTGCATAATAGGATATATCGAAATGTCATTTATATAGGCATCTTTTTTTTGGATTGAGACAAAATAAGGATCATAGTAGTTTTCCTGAAGTCATTCAACATGCAAAAAATGTTTTAGCTTGTAAAAACACTTTTAATTACTAAAATTGTAAATGATGCATTGCATGTCTTGTGAATTTTTAAAAACTAAATAACATACTGAATATACAACATGTTTGATTACAGGTTTATTTCTTTAAATAATAATTCCTACACATGTTTATCCTGTTACTAAGTTTTTCCAAATGAAACTGAGAAACTGTTTCAGCATAATAGAATGAATGGGTTGTAAGAAAAAATTTTTAAATATAAAATTAAATTGTTTACATGTTTCCCATAGAAAAAAAGTCCAATTAGTGTAATGTTCATTATGCTTAATTACAAAAAGTTCCATATCTGTATATAAAGCACAGAAATATTTGTAATTAATACAATAATGGGACCAATTACTGTGTTAATAGCGAATGCTATTTTATTCCAAATAAAATCGTTCATCACTGAAATGAGCAAGTTTATTTTTGCCATTTCTTTCTAAATATGTGGGAGAAATAGTATATTTATTCATTAATTTGCATTAAAAAGGGATCTAAAAGAATAAATTTATTTTTCTTATATCTTTGCAAATTTTGCATGTAAAGAAGTAAAGCGTTTATTAAAAAAAGTTTTATTTAGCTTATGAAAACATGAAGAAAATGTTATTATTTGAGCTTTTTCCTCAGTGGGGATTATACAAAAAATTAGATCGCATACTGGCAAACATTCCCCCCCCTCACACTGTACCATAAAATTTGGTAGAGAAATTATTGTAAATGAATTTTAGGGAAAAACTTTGTTATTGTAAATGAATTTTAGGGATCAGTATTTAAGGGAATAAAGACTGTAGTCACATTTTTAAATGTTGTGTGCATATAAAACTATAAAATGAACAAAAGTTTTTACTTTTATGTTTTCAGATTTGTCACAATAGATTCAAATAGCAAAGACTATGTTTAGTGTGTTGTTACTTATTATAAATGTAAAAGATAAAAAAAGAAAATAATTGAAAAATAGGCTGTCAAAGAGTAGGCGATGCCTGTATTACAAATATCTAGCTTTGCTTGCATAAATCTAGTCATTGACAAAGCATTTATATGTAATGTATCTATTCATGTAGATGTTACATTCATCAAATTTGTAGTTCTACTTTTAGATGATGTGTGCGTTATCTGTCAAAAGAAAGTGTTTTGTACACTTTTATATAATAATGTAATTTAAAAGTTTTCACACTTAAGAAGAATGTGGTGAAGATATTAATATATTTAAGGGATTGGTCTATGACAAATCCTGGTCATATTAAATTTCATGTTGAAAAAAGCTCAAATCCTGCCATAGCCTGTGATTCCATTATCTCGATAACATGTTATCATCTTTGATCTTGAAATTTTTGTCCTATTTCAAGGGTAAAACATTTCTTACAAATCATTGCTGCATAAAATGAAACATTGCATTTAAGAAGAAATATTTTTATATTTTTCTTTTCACTGATATCCCATTTTCATTAGTTATGTAGATTTAATACATCATGAGTGATTTATATATATGTAAAAATGACTGTATTCTTGTGTAATATACAGTCTGCATCAATATTTATATTGTAGCATGCTATCAGTAAAGAAATTGCACACTTTGCTGTTAATGTTTAAATTATATCATTTAATATGTCACAACATTTCTTTGCATTTGTAACATGTAGTATGTTGTTAAATATTATGTAGACTAAGCAACAGAGAATAAAGATAAGAGCAATGTTGTTGGAAACCTAGTTAAAATCGAATGATAATAATTTGCATTGTGCAAACCTTATTTAAGTTGATATGACTTCATTTTAAAAACACTTAAGTGTCATAAATAGTTAATGGAAATATAGCTGTAATAGGTCTTATAATTTGATATCATATTTGTTTTGTATTATAATAATTTAATATATCATAAATAGTCAAGTGGTGTATCTTTTTCTGCAAACCAGGATTCAAAATGTTTTTTTAATTCTTTTTATTTTTATGAAGGAATATATCTGCAATTTTCAGTGATGATAATTCATTTAAATATGACAGGGTTCACTTTGAATATCTCTAACTTGTAAATTTATGATAGGCTAACTTACGATTTATTGGAAAGTTAGTATCTGCAAATAGAAAATTTTAAATTCATATTCAATGAATAAAAATAAAATGTAATTATTGCATTACATAGGAACATTTGGCAATAAGTAATCATATGCATAGTTGTGACCAATAGCTTAAAATTATAAGCAATACTATATTAGCACCATTATAATATAAATGCTTATTTTAATGAAAGCTGTTTTCTGATTTATTTACAGAACACGATTTTGAAAATCAGATTTTGTAATTTATATACCATGCTAGCTCAATTTTATTAAATTGCTGTTTGGCATATGATTGTGATGTTTAATTTATATTCATTTAAATTAAATTGTCATGGTAAATGTAGTTTTGGTTGAGCTAAAAAATATGCCTAAATTAGATGATACACTTATGTTCTTGTATTCACTGCATTGTGCTGTAATCCTTTGCTAAATGTACATTTAAAATTCCTGAAATGTTTCAAAACCATAGTTACTAAGACTATTGTTTGTTCATTGTTGAGTCCATATTTCATGGAAAAATGGTTACCAGAGCTTTAAGGAGCTTGAACTTCTACTTCCACCCCAATTTTGAGGAAGAGTATGATCTGTACCTAGGCAGTCTCGGCCATGCGGATATAAAAATATTGAGCCTGGCGGTTCCCGATGATCTGCGTTAAAGTTTATGCCAACCTTTCATGTGTCTGGTGGCTTAAGACCCCTTAACTAGGGTATCAGTTGCAGAATAGTGCTGGGGCCATTGAGAGTCCAATCCACGCTCTCCTCCATATTCCGTGTAAAGCCTGGAGGGAGGGACTGCCCATGTAGTACTGTTAGGCAGACCATTGAAGACCAATCAGAGCTTCAGGCATTCAGCTCCATCCTGCCATGGTCTCTGCTGGGATGGTGGCCTCGGTTGACCAGTTCAGCGATGGGTTTGGGAGTTAATTTTGATGCTGATGTTTGGGTCTTCAGTAAGAGTGTTTAAGACCATCTCCAAGATGGCTTTTGACTGGCTGGCCACCCTGCACCTAATATTGAAGCTCTCATTTGGGACCCAGTCCACGTAGTGACATTAAGTTGTCGGGGCGTGTAATACAAATCAATCTCCCTTCACATGAAAGGACTTTTGGCCCACCATATATTTAAATGCCCCTATGCTGCAAAGACACTCTACATTTACAAACATCCATGCCTTTTCCAGGATTCAAAACCAGGCCCTTTTGTACAGCAGCAGAGACTATTGTCTAGTCAGATATAAGGTAATGAATGACTGAGCAGCAAACACCACTCATTATTGGTAATTATATTTAAAGTTTGATGCTTGTTCATAGAAAGGTCTTGCTGCATGGATATTTTTTTGTGTTTTTCTCTATGTGTAATATAATCTCTATGTTCATTATTGTTCTCATAGAGAATTTCTCTAGTTCAAAACATTTCTGAAGCTTTTTCTTTTTTTTCAAGGTGCCTAATCTTAAATGGTAATAAATTACCCTAACCATAGTGAGTAGGATATTACTGATTAATAATTATGCAATAAATTATCATTGATGTAAAAATATTAATAGCCCCAGTGATGTTATTATGACCTAGATATGTTTCAAAATTTTCTATACTTTATTTAAAGCAATGCTCACCAAGCATTTTGTTTTAGAAATGTGACCCATGGGTTAAATTGCTGTAAAAGAGAGAGTAGAAAGAAGTCCTGGAAGAAAATAATTTAAAATAAGTGTATGTTATTATTAAAAATTAGCTAAAAATAAATTGATAATTAATAATGAAAAATAATTTCATTAAAGCAAATAATTTCAAAACTTATTGTGGCCCACCTAATATTAATTTTGTGATCCCATTCTGAGCCATAGCCACAGTATTTTTATAGTTGCAATACTTTTTTTGTTCTGTTAGTTTTTCTTCTTATTTGTTTCCTAAAATAATCCATATTTATCAATGTTTATGTATGAAGATTATGTAAATATAGACTTTTTCACGTTATTTGATGAATGTGCCGAGTATTAATTTTTACGCTTTCTAAAATTTTATTTATTGTTGTTTTAAATTGAATAAAACTAGTATATTATAGTTTATTTCATATTTTAACCATACAAATGAGTATTAATTTATCTATATGATATGTTAAGTATCTTTTAATGATCTTACTTAAAATTGTAATTATAGTTTAAAAGTCTGACTGATCTCAAAAGAGTACTATTATCATTTGAAAACTTAAATTAAATTACTGATAAGTATTCTTCATATACATTTATGAAATAATGACCCTGAATATGAAATTACTAAATTTAATACAGAATGTCAATTCAATTATGTACTGCACTGTGTAATTAATTATGTAAATGGAATTTAATATTGCCAACTGTTCTTTGAAAAAATGCATAAAAAGCCTAAATCTTCTCTTTATATTGTTCTGTCATTTGAGAAGATTTGAGATAATAGTAGATTAGATTTGGAAAAATTCTTTGTATATGAAAGGGCATTTGGCAAAGGATTGTTGTACATGATTTGTATGAAAATCAATTAAAAAAAGTAAATAATGTCCTTATTGTCTAAGAGTAAATGAATACGTTTTGTGTCAGATGTAAATATTTGTATTTTGTGGCAAATGCTGTAAAAGTAGTTTTGAAGTTGATTGCAATAAAAGACATAACTGCCAATTACATACTTGTTTTTCTTTTTTTTAGCTCAAAAGGGTGTTATTAGTCTGGAAATAGGATTTTGTGTTGGTTCTCTATCAACAGCATATCACTTTTCAAATTGCTGCCACAAATATTATTGCCCTGGATTATTTTTAAAGAAATTAAATAATTAAAAATCTGCATGTATGCATGTATGTACCTGGTATTATGAAAAAACAACGGTACCTAGAGCCATCCAATTTTGAATAACTCCCAAACCAAACATGTAGATCTGGAAGCTCAAATTTTGAATTTCCATTTTAGTTTATTATTTATTTCATACTTTGTAAAACTTAAATGAATTTTTGATTAACAAGCCGCACAATTTAAAAGCGAGCAGTGACAACGTTGTTCGAAGTCAAACATTTTTATATCCAGATCATGAAACTGTTGGCATTCCGAAAACAGTAAGATATTTATTTTTCAGTTTTAATTAATAAACTCAACTCTATGAAAGAAACGTGTTGCTGTGGCCGGAAATAAAATACTTTTATCTTCTATGTGCTAGAGTGTTGCTATTCAGTAAAGTGTACTTTCAGTAATACTTTCATATTTAATTTGGAAGATTATTGAGTATCATACCAAGCGATTTAAAAGCAATAAACAATGTTCTTTAGAATATTTTTTATTCTACTTTTTAATGCGATTGATTTAAATAAACATATTAAAATCATAAAATGAATTAAAAATATTCAATATATTTATGAAATTACACTAGCTGGACTTATTAAAATTAGTATATACTTTTTCATGATAACTAGTTTAAGCCGCTGTCTGCTAGAGAGGCTGAAGAAGTAATATAGCGAATATAAAAATATGTATGTCAACTTCTAACACTCTGTCAGGAATTCTGAAGATATACTGCTTTTAAATATTTTGTGATTTAATATAATTTAAATATTTTGTGCTGATTTGAATTTTATATGACATAAGTGCGATGAACGTGATATTTATAAATAAAATTAATGCATAAAATGTTAATAATAAAAAGACTAAGAAAATTGAATATTGATGTGATAAATTGAGAAATGAAGAAATATAAAAATGTATCCAACACTTAACGCTGCATTGGGAATTCTAAATACATGCTGCTGTGTAGCTTTTAAAAATGTTTTGATTCTGTTATTCAACTGTAGGGGGTGTAAATGCGAAGAAAACCATTCGTAATAATAAAACTAAAAAGTCCTAAAAAAGTCTGTTTGCAGGATTGAGTGGAAGAGCAGACTAGTAGACTACGAGCTTATAGAGATATAAAAACCTTAACAAACTCTCCTGGGTGGCCATTACAATCTGAAACCTTTCATATTTTATTTTTTATTATTAGCCCAAAGGGGCAATTTGTGCAGAAGGGCTATTAACTTCATATATCAGTATCTGTTTTCATAAAGCTTTCAGCTTATTTTAAGAAACTTTCGCTTTGCTTATTTTAGTTTTCAGATTCACATCTGGTTACAAAAACGTAAGTAATAAAGTAAATTCGATTAATGGATGAATATGGCAAGTGATTAAAATAGGACTTTGCAAAACTTTCAAGCTAAGACTGCGTAAATGAGAGTTATACAGAGCTGGAACAAAGTTTTGGCACGTAAGTCACTTGCCTCAACCTTGTCCCGGCTCTTATTTCTTACCTTAGGCGAATAACTAGAAAAAGTGCCAAATTAGCTTAAAAAATTTAGATATTCATTTTGAAGATAGAAATTGCAATTATTAGCTTTCAATTTGGAAACGCATCAATAAGTACCCAAAGAATTTTATGTTATAAACCAATCCAGCTGAATTAAGAGAAGAATTTATGGGTACTTTTCCGTTTCGCCGGCGCAAATCTCGCCAAGCAGACTTTGTTGGCGACAACATACAGTATACACATAAAGAATGTTAATTCTAAGAATTTTTTTTTATTTTAAAGGCATAAACATTTTAATATGGTTTAAAATTTTGTAAAAAGCCAATAAATTTGTAAAAAGACATTAATTTAAGAATTTACTATGATTTCATGGTTCAAAATCCTGATTCGCCGGTTCGTATCACGTGACCCCAAGTGATCTCATCTCACCTAAACTACGCTACTAAAATCTAATTCTCTCAGTAATTATCTACATTAATTTCAAGTTAAATCTTAATTTGGAATACAAGTTTAAATGCAAGAATTATTTCAATTCGTACGAATAGCTTACTCAGAAATTATGTAAAACCGCAGTGCTTTACTTCGCTAGTGCATTCTCATTACAATTGATGAATTTAACACTTGATTTCGCCTTCGGATGAGCGGGTAATTGCGTTCTAATTGACTTAATTACCGTGAATTGTCTTAGGGGATAAAATTTAAATATCGTGTAAAAATTCTATATTATTGTATGCCAGTATTGAAAGAAACAATCTGATAAGAAATGGCTTCAACTTGTTTTGAAACTGAGGCGTAAAAGGTTACCAGCGAAGATATTCCGTCTGGCATCAGTTAAACCAATACTGGCGACTTTATCGTTTGCGCCGGCAAAACGGAAAAGTACCGAATTATGCTATAAACCAATCCAGCTGAATTAAGAGACGAATTTTATGTTATAAAACAATCCAGCTGAATTAAAAGAAGAATATTATGTTAAAAACCAATCCAGCTGAATTAAGAGAAGAATGAACAACATTGATTTTTCTTAAAACTCCTGATGTTTTACAGCACTATACGTATTATTTTCTAACATTAAAATTTATGGTTGGAGATAATGCAGTTAATTTGCGCTTGTTTATACTAAAGAATTGGGCTGCATAGTCTAAACATTCCTAGAAAGCATCCTGCTGCGGACATCAGTAATTTAGTATTATCTCTTTCTAAATTTGAACTGTAGGTTTGATTACACTTAATTCGCCGTAACAATATTTCTGAAGTCTGCTAACGGAATATAGACAGCGATGCATGCCTATAGTTTTTGCAACAGACATAAATAAAAGCTTACCATCGAGAGGCTAAATAAGGATGCTTAAAAATTAAATATATCATATTTTCTTTTATTTTTTGTGAAAAATGTACCATTGAACTAGATGCATAGTTTGAGGTTTCGTCTTCTTGTATCTGTATTTAATTTGCGAGGAACTATACAGTTGGTTCCATTTGCGGTTATTTCTGGAGCAATTACACGTATTACTGGACAGATTTACTGAACAGGCACATCAGTCAGTCTCTATCTTTGAAAAGACTAGAATGTAAACATCTAAGGAAAGACATGATTTCTTACTTCCCTTCTATTTTTTAGTCCAAATGGGATATTAGTCTCGAAATGGCATTTTGCGTCGAATCACAAGAAGCGTTGAACCATTTTTCAAATTGTTGCCACCAAATAATATCGCCCTGTTTTATATTTAAAGAAATTAACTAAGGAAGAATCTGCATGAATGTATGTCTGTTTCTCGCATTGTGAAGCAACAACGGTACCCAGAACTACCAAATTGTGAATAACGTAGTTCTGCACCCGAACATGGGCACCTGGAAACCCGGATTTTGAATTTGTTTTATTATCTATTTCATATTTTGTAAAACTTTGTAAAACGAATTTTTGATTAAAAAACTCAACAATTTCAAAGCCAGGAGTGGCAACAGTGTGCAGAATAAAACATTTTTGTATTCAGCGCGCGAGACTATCTGTCGAAATTCTAAAGATAGATCGAATTTTATACGGCGTAAGTGAATCTCTCACTTACGCCGCATAAAATGTGTTATCA